TATAGGGATAATTTGCTAATGGGCTTGTTCGCAAACAGCGCTCACTTAGCGTTTTAGCGGAGAGATTTAGGATTATGGAGCTCATTAGTATTGTGAAATATTTAGCGGATATGCCATCGCACTTGGTCACTTCGGGTATGATTCAGGGGTTTGTAAAGGAAGATATAGGATGCATGGACAGAAACCTTGAAAACAGTTGTATTGTGTTTGTAAAACTGCATTAAATGACAGGTCTGACCGATCAAAAATCTTATAGCTTCATTTTCTATTAATTTTAGGCGTCTGTTTAAAAAAATATTCTAAGAAATCTAGGGCCTCCTGTTTTTGGAATATCGTATTAGGCTTGCAAATAATAATGAATTCCACCAAACTGAATAGCTTTTGGACAACAATTATATTGACACAGATGTTCATGTTCTGAGTTAAAAAACGACTAAGAAAATAAAACGAGATGCAATGATTCATCTCATAAATACTGTACTTATAATACAGGGTCTAAACGTTATGATAGTCATTATTTAAATGGGTGATAGAGGGAATCAAAACAAGTGAAAAGGTTCATATGACCCATGGTCCAAAAGTCAATAGGTTTTTGTCTAAATGGCTTTATAGTTTACAATTTTAAGCGCTTTAGATCGACCACAATCGTACTATTTTTGTAATCTAATCTAAAACGTTCTTGAATTGGGTAATTAACAAATAAATGGCATTAAGTTTTTCTGAGCTAAGCCAAAATTTGTAGTCAGTAAGTAAGTTTCTTTGAACTGAATATTTAAAACACACATGACAACAGCGCGTCGGTCATCATCACCCTTATCGAACCGGTAATCGATCGCAAACGGTAACAGTGGTTAGTATGTTGTTTCGTTTTTGTTCGCGTACGTCGTCGCGTTGATTTACAATGTTCTCGAATCAAGAGTTCGACGTGTTGTTAGTTTACGGTGAAGCTCGCATATCATAGTCCATAGAATCCTATGGGAAAATTTGTTTTATCCCTACCATGACAACGAGTGCAGGCCTTGTTACCAGAAGACTATCCTCGCAGAGTATCGTTCTGCCAGTTTTTTTTGCACAAAAACATTGAAAAACCGGATTTTTCTTAAAAACATTCTAGCGACGGACGAATGTACTTTTACGCGAGACGGGATATTAAATTTCCATAATACTCACACGTCGCCCCAAGAAAATCCTCATACCATTCGTGAAGGTCATGTCCAACAACGTTTTAAAATAAATATTTGGGCGGGTATTCTTGACGATCAGGTAATTGGCCCTTTCGAGTTACCCCCAAAGTTGTCAGGAGAAGGATACCTTAGCTTTCTAGCCAATAACGTACCAGAACTTTTGGAACAGACCTTAGACAATATGCCATTACAACGGAGACAGAATTTGTGGGTTTTTCATGACGGGGCACCACCACACATTTTTAGAGGCGTCATTCACTATTTGAATAAACATTATCCAAATCGCTGGATCGGTCGAAATGCTCCTGATCCTCGAAAATGACCAGCAAGATCTCCTGACCTCAACCCGATGGGTTTCTTGTTTTGGGGAGAACTTAAAGGGATAGTTTATGGGGTTGGTCCAATAACAACTGAAACACAACTTCGCGAAAATAAATTTACTGCGGCTGAAATAGTAAATGGACAACGTCGAGGACCTAGAGTAAGAAGAAACTGGGTTCGTCGTAATGAAGCTTGTGTGGAAAGTGGAGGACGACATTTTGAACAACTTCTTTAAATACAAAAAGGTGCAGTGGGGGTTTTAAAAAGAAAAACAATGTATGTATCAAAATTGTGTTCTCTATTTATAAGTGGATTTTTTTAAAAGGTTCAATAAACTTTCAAACACCAGATGAAGTGGTGAGACAGTTAGTGATAAGTCCGCTTTTTTTTTAATTGTTTGCATTTTACGAGTACATTATCAAATAATGAAATAATACCTTAGAGCCAAAAATATCAAACTCCATCTTTATTTACACTGCGTTCCGTCATAATTTGCGTCTGGCATTGCGACGTTGTCAGATTTTATTTTACTTTAAAGTCGCTTTTCTCTAAAAAAACTGCCGTTTTGACCCCCATGTTATATGAAACTTTTTTCTTCTTTTAACTCCATCTATCACTCATTTAAACAATGACCATCTTAACGTTTACACGCTGTATAAGACATCTTTGAAGATATAGCAACAAGCTCATATTAAAGAGATTGAAGCTCTAGAGTGTAATTTGTTTTGATGTCATGCTTAGTCCTTTAATCACAGAAGTTATAAGAATGTACAAGCAGATTTCTTTAAGTTGAAACTACTCTCCATTAGGCACTTTAAATACATATGCCTAAATTTCAGGTTCGTATCTTCAAAAAGATATTAGTTTTTCCAGGCAGTGCATATTTGTTATAGGTACATATAGGGATACCTTTGTGCCTCAACTTTGTTATGTCTGCTCTAGTTTTAATTTGCTTTTTAGCTTTCGTGTTATGTAAGATTACTATTTGAATAGCTGCAAAGTATCTAGAATACCGTTTCTGGTATACGAACTTGGAGTATTTCACGAAAAATAACGATGCATCTGGCGTGTATTTGTGTATACTTAAGTGAAGGAACCATTGGCGGCGCATACGATCTGAATGCTCGCGTCCCACAGCTCGTCTCTGTACTTCGCGAGAAATGTTGCAAGCAATGCTGAGTTTGGAAATAAAGATTTGACTTAGGTCTGTTGAAAATAGAAATCCCCTCTTCTAATTTTCAACCATTCAATAAAATCTCAAAAATAAGTAATAACCCCTGACACATCAAAAACATAGCTAAAAAGATTAATACGTAAAGAAAGAGAAACAGGCAAAAAAGGAGCAACAGGTAGGGATTGGATCAGATGGTGTTCATTACGTTAGGCGTCCTAGTGGACAAATATTGAACCACAAGTACACTTTACCCACTGTCAAACATGGAGGCGGGTCTGTTATGGTTTCTGGGTGCTTTTCGGGGTTTGGGATGGGACATTTATACAGAATATGGATAAGTTTGTATGTGTATACATAGTAAAGCATGACATGTTACCCTATATGGAAGACAATATGCCCTTAAGATCAATTTTCCAGCAAGATAATGAACCGAAGCATACTTCAAATCTCGCAAAGAAATAATTTCTGGATGGAAAAATACCAGTTCTCAGATGGCCTTCACAGGCTCCGGATATAAACTCCATTGAAAATCTGTGGGAATACTTAGATAAGCAAATACGAGATAAAAATTATTCAAACAAGGATCTTATATCAATAAACTTCTACAATCTAAGCCGAGACGATGCCAGGCGGTGATTGATAATAATGGTTATGCTACAAAATATTAACACAAACATGGTTGGTTTTCTATAATTCAATGAATTTTGCTTCTTTTTTCTATAACTGTTTTGCTTTGTCTGTATATTTTTGTCCTTCATAGTTCCAGTTTTTATCAATTAATTTTTATCGAAGGGAGTCTAATGAATTTATTTATGTATAAGTGAGCATTATGCTATAACGCATGATGTATACCGGTTGGTGTATTAATAAAACAAGTTAAAGAAGAAATACAGCACAATATTAGTTTGTCTATATACTTTTGTCCATTACTGTAAATCTTTAACGAACTAAGCACCATGGAGTCGCTTCGGGAACTGCGCATGCGCTAGATATGATGAAAACACGATGTCAGTTCTTTGTATCAGTGTCAATCGGTTCTGTATAGAACAATACTTGTATTAGCTGAAAACAGCGTTAACACAAAAACATTCAAAAAATTGGTAGCAGATTTGCATTCCTCATGTTAAACTCTTCATATGATTTTCCTTTTTTTATCTACTAAGGAATACGTTGCAGACCAGTGGCCCCCACGAGCCGCTACTGAGTTAGTTTGCCTTTGGTGAACGAACTAGTAGAAACTAGCATCGGTAGCTACGCCGTAACTTGGGGTAAATAATATATTGTGTATTTGTGTTTCCCTGTCGCGTTAATCGACACAACATACGCGATGCACTCAGAAAGCGCGCCGCGCTCTGTATGACAAACTTGCTAGTTGCTACACGAACTGCGATTATGTTAGCTCCATATAGCATGGGATATCAAACCAGCCGTACATTATGCATGTTCTGTGCTGATGCCAAAACGCCACATTGTTCAGATATGTTGTTTCATGAATTTCTGTAGATATCCTAATATAGGATGAACGTATATTATGTGGGAAACTATGGAATTGAGATGAGGGAGGTATATGCCAGAAATCGGAGCCAACCGACGTGCTGGCATAGTGTAATAATATTTATTGGTTCTGTAGGATGACCATGGTGAAGGTACTGTGTCATGAAAAATATCAAAAAGCTTTCCAAAAATTACTAAATGAAAACAATATACGTATGAAATATATCAGTCTCAATAATGACAATAATAAGAATAATAATCGCATTTATTGACCAAGTAAAAAGAACGTTACGTAGGGCGAGATTTAGCACCTGCTGTTCCACCTTCTAGCCCCAGTAGCTTAAAATAATAGAAAAAGATGTGAAAATATGTGGATGTGTGGAAGTTTTGCTTATAGAACCATAGTATGCCGCGCGGATCGAACGTCAGTACTAAATCTTAACATCTCTCTTTAGTAAACTTAAATTCAAAGTTTCACAAGAATACATCCAGTGTTCTCACTAGAGTGAATTTTTAAGTGTCAACAAGTCATTAGAAAAATGGAACTCAACCCAGAACATTTTCGCGGGTGAGTCTTAGCGACGATCCCAGGGTGGGTGCAGCAAAAACGGCAGTCACCCAGGAAAACATCGATGCTGTAGATAGACATGTGACACATCGCGAGATTGAGGCGTCCTTGAAGATCTCAAAGACCTCAATTCAAAAAATTTTACATGAAGAATTAGGAGTAAGAAAATTAGTTTCTCGTTGCATACCCCACCTGTTGACTGAAGAGCAGAAAGCAGCCAGGGTTAATTGGTGTCAAAAAACGCTTGACAGTTACAATTCCGGAAACTAAAAAAATGTTTACAGCATTGTTAGTGGTGATGAATCGTGAATTTACTGTTATGAACCAGAAAATAAACGACAGTCGGCTGTCGGCTCCAAAGTGAAGAAAAGCCAACAAAAGTCATCCGTTCTCGAAGTGTTTCGAAAAGATGGTCGCGGCATTTGTGTCAAAAGCGGGTCATATTGCAACAATTCCTCTTAATGGGCAAAGAACTGTTACTGAGGATTGTTATACCACCATTTATTTGCCAAAAGTCATCACCGAGCTTCGAAAAATCAACCGCGAAAGAAGAATCATCCTCCACCAAGACAATGCAAGCTCGCACACAGCCCAAAAAACAGGGCAGTATTTAACGGAAGAAAACGTGGAATTATTGGACCATCCTCCATATAGTCCCGATCTAAGTCCTAACGATTTCTTTACTTTCTCGAAAATCAATAACAGACTGCGTGGTCAAAAGTTCCAGTCACCAGAAGAAGCAGTTGACGCATTCAAAAATGCCGTTTTGGATCTGCCAGCAAACGAGTTGAATAAGTGCTTCGAAAATTGGTTCGAGAGCATACAGATGTGTATTAATCTTCGTGGAGAATACTTCGAAAAACAATAAAGTCATTAAAAACTACCTACCGTGTTGTTTTATTTCCATATGCAAAACTTAAAAGACATCCCTCGTACAACGTAATACAAAGCTATGTCGATTCACTTGTGAAAAGAAAAAGAGATAACAATAAGTTATAAATAACCGGAAAAATATAATATTAAAATACAAAGTATGAAAACGAAGGAACGCCAAAAATCCAAGATAGATTGGTTAGTCTTAAGAACCTGGCAAGTTGTATAATATAACTGCATTGTAAGTAAGAGGTCTTTTGAAGAGTGTTGTGATGTTTACAACTGGAGGGATAATAATAATATATTTATTGCCCAACAGATACATCCATTTAAAGGACAACGTAATTGAATATCATTTGACGCTACAGTAATTTTAACTACAATCATAGCTCGCCCAGTTAGTGAAAAAAAAATGAAACAAAAAAGTAAATAGCTACACCTACTCACCTACATATCTTAAATGTTATAAATTGAATAATAGTAGTCACTGAATACAGCTCGTATATCTCTGACTTTATCATGGTGAATGTCACAATTATCAGCTATGGTGTTAAAGCTGGAGCACATAAAGTACACGGGTGACTTAATCATAACATTAGAATTTGGTTTTTTTAAGTAAAAAGCGAGAAATCTTCGGGAAATGTGGGACGGTACAAAAAAAAATCAATTTTAGCTAATAAAGCTGAAGTGGCCGAAAACAGACAGTAACTCAGCAAGGCATTCTTGTTGCGATAATTATCTCTGAAAGTTGTAATAAATTATGGCGCGAAAATGTACTCGGTTGAGTTCCATTTTTCTAGAGACTTGGTAACACTTAAAAATTCACTGTGGTGAGAACACTGCACGTATTGTTGTGAAACTTTAAATTTAAGTTTACTAAAGAGTGAGGTTAAGATGTAGTACTGATGTTCGATCCGCGCGGCCTACTATGTTTCTATATGCAAAACTTAAAAGACATCCCACGTACAGTAAATTTTCAAAGTGGCCACCTTCGACTTGAATACAGGCGTTTAGTCTGTTACATATTGACTGACGAACTCTCCTGAAAATACACGGAGTATTTTGTATAGTCAGACATGACTCGACAATTCCACTAATGATTTCAAATGTTTCCATAAAAAGAAATCGATAGGATTCATGACAGGCGATCTAGGTGGCCGTGGCTGTGGTCCGCCTCTTCCAATCAATCGATTTGGGTAATTATTTATCTTGCGGACCCATGTTCAAATTGAGCAAGGATTCGATGGTTAAAGTTTGTCTACATACTGTATAAATAGATTTTAAACGCAAGATTGCGATATAAACGTGATACACGATCAAACTTTCTTAGGCGACCTGTACATTAATTATGTTTCATCATTCTCGTTAATGTATGCAGGTAATAATTGTTAAAAAACTTTCAGTTTTTATAAATCTTGTATGGTTCAGGATGGTGGAATAGATATACGATTGTGGTCCCGGAAGTACCTTACCCAACGAAGAAAACACAAAATTTTTGTAAAAAAATGTATTTATTTTTCAACATAATCTCATTTGAGCTCTATACACTTTTCCCAGCGACGTGCAATAAGTTCGATACCCTTTTTATAATAAGAACTGTCTTGCTCCTCAAAATAGCCATTAACTGCCGACATCACTTCTTCATCCTTGGAAACTCTTTGACCAATGAGCCATTTTTTCAAGTTTGGAAAATAATCCGAGGGGGCTAAATCTGGTGAATAGGGTGCATGAGGTAGCAATTCAAACTTTAATTCGTTAATTTTGGCCATTGCAATAACGGATTTGTGAGCTGGTGCATTGTCTTGATGAAACAACACTTTCTTCTTAACCAAATGCTGCCGTTTTTGCTGGATTTCATCGCTCAAACGTTGCAATAAGCTCGCATAATACTCGCCGTTGATAGTTTTACCCTTTTCAAGATAGTCAGTGAAAATTATCCCACGCGCATCCCAAAATACCGACGCCATAACCTTGCCTGCACACGAAACGGTCTTCGCCTTCGACCCAAAAATTGCTTTGTTGCTGTAAAACATCGCTAAACACTCAGTTGAAACATCATCACGGCACTGTTTTTGCTCGATTGTGAGCAATCGCGGCACCCATCTTGCACACAGCTTTCTCATGTCAAATTTTCAGATAATATGTGATGAATCGCACTTTTTGAAATGTGAACTATGTCTGCTAGCTCGCGCACTTTCAGTCGACGATCATTCAGTACCGCTTTGTGAATTTTCTTCACCATTTCTGGAGTCGTCACCTCATTTGATCGACCACTGCGATGCTCGTCTTGGCAGCTCATACGGCCTGATTTAAGCTCTGCTACCCAATATTTTACTATGGTAAACGAAGGAGCAGTCTCATCCAGTGCAGTTTTTATATTGGTTGGGCTGAGGCCTTTGAAATAAAAGTATTGTACCACATAACGATGATCAATTTTCTCCATTTTCACAAATTCACTGAAAACGTTCAGTATTGATGGCTGACAAACAAATACTAAACAACGTGGCGTCTTCAAACTTGACACATATGCCTTATAGGTTGCATACTTTCTAATACAATGATATTTTTCAAACAACTAACGCCATCTCTAGGTCAGGCCGGGTACTTCTGGGACCACCCTCGTAGTATCCAAATCTCGCCTCCTGTAATGTTATTACAAATAAAAAGGATGTTAGTTATTATTATTTCAAAATACCTTGCAAACCTGCTACCCAGATTGGGAACTTTGTCCAGGTCTATTCTCGAGTCGCACCATAGAAACATCTAGCTAAACTGGTTAAACTGCCCTCAATATTCGAAACTGCAGAAACTCGCGTACTCCCTAAAAAATCAGACGGAACTATTATGGCGCTCCCATCTGCTTATATTGGAAGTCCTCCAAACGAGAAGCTTGTCGGAATACCGAATCAATATTAATTTCATTTCGCTTTTGCCCGTTAGTTCAGGCCGGTGGAATAGGACACAGGAAGTCGCTTGTTTGGTGGATGTTGCTGAAAGGAAACACGTGGCGAGGACAAAGGATAAGAGCTGGGTGAGCTATCACTGAATGGAGTCAACGAGCTCTGCTAGGACATGTAGATGGATTAAAAGATTGTGAACTCTGCCAGGGTATAATAGATATTACTTTTGGGGTATTGAGGATAATACAGGGTGTAAACGTTATGATAGTCATTATTTAAATGGGTGATAGAGGGGGTTGAAAGACGCAAAAAGTTTCATATAACATGGAGGTCAAAACGGCATTTTTTTAGAGAAAGGCGACTTTAATTTACAACGCCGCAATGCCAGACGCAAATTAGGACGGAACGCAATGTAAATAAAGATGAAGTTTGTTATTTTTGGATCTTAGGTATTATTTCATTACGACGAACCCAGTTTCTTGTTACTCTAGGTCCTCGAAGTTGTCCATTTATTATTTTAGCCGCATTAATAATTTTTTCGCGAAGTTGTACTTCGGTTGTTATTGGACCAACCCCATAAACCATCCCTTTAAGTTCTCCCCAATACCAGAAATCCATCGGGTTGAGGTCAGGAGATCTTGCTGGCCATTTTCGAGGATCAGGAGCATTTCGAACGATCCAGCGATTTGGATAATGTTGTAATACATACATTGTAATACCATCACAGCCTATTGCAGTCGACTTTATAGAGAAAGATATATCTAGGATCTCCTGATCACTTACATGTTTAAACACAGATAATGTTAAATTAGCATCGAATAAATTCTGTTGATAAAATTCAGCTGTAGCATCAATTAAACGGGAATGGGTATGGGTATTTTGAAAATTTAATGAAAAGTGGTCATTAACTTCATTTGGTTCTAATAAATTTAATGGAATCTCAGTATGTTTCTGAGGACAAACGTTCATCTTCCTAAGGTTCATCATCCTAAGATGATCCCAGGCTTTCTTCGAATTAAATTGTTCAAACCGTGACAGATATGCCTTTTTTTCGCGTCTAAGAGAGGCAAGTGCGAAATCATATATACTAAGTGACATATAAATCCGAACACCCAGTTTAAATGGTTTGATTTTAATAAAAGTTGGTGAATGTACTTATCTTACTGTAAATAACAAGTGAAAAAATTTTCAGCCTTATCAGTTGGACATTCCGGTTTTTATACTGCTTTTTTTAATTCACTAACGCTCTAAAAATGAATATTTCAGCCGCAGTAAAGAATCAACGTTGGCGGATTTTGGTTCTTGACATCCTTTACGATCGGTTACGATGCCTAGAGTACGGAGACCTGTACGATTTCGTCAACTTAGTGAGTTTGATAGGGGCCGCATAGTGGGACTTCGGGAAGCTGGACTTTCTTTTCGGGCAATTGCAGTTAGAGTGCAAAGAAGTGTAGACACTGTGGTTAGGTGTTGTCAGGCATGGCTTCGAGAAGGCCGTACGCAAAGAGCAAGGGGCACTGGACGCCGCCGTAGAACAACAGACCGTGAAGATCGCCGCCTAAGATTATTAGCCTTAAGGGACCGTTTCTCCACTACCAGGTTCATTGCAAATGAATGGTTTGCAGAACACGGAAAACCTATTGGCATGCGAAGTGTTTACCGACGAATGAGAAGTTTCGGCTTGTTTTCATACCGGCCACACTGGGTCCTCCCTTTAACTCGAAAACACCGACGTAATCGTCTTGAGTGGTGCAGACAACGGTCACTCTGGGATCAGGAATGGAACAGTATTATCTTTAGTAACGAGTCTCGATTTTGTTTAGGCATGCACGATGGTCGTGCCAGGGTTAAAAGGCGACGTGGTGAAAGCAGGAATCCACAGTTTTTT